TTGATTAAGTGAATTGTGGCCCCCTTAAGCTCCAAACATAGACGTGTCAGAAAATCTCAGATATTCTAACCAAAATAGCTAAAATTTCTTTAAAAAATAGTTATTGTCCATTTTTAGATGACATTTTAGAAATTTGCATTTTACAGGTGCAACAGATTCAATACTACCAAATTCAACGTTCACCATATGCAAAATGAATGCTTTTTTTAAAGCAGAAATGTATATTTATTCAAAAATTATATCATACCAATTATAATACTGTATTGGAATAAAGAGCTCCCTCAAATAGTAAACAAGTGTTTTTAGTATTCTTATCAAGGACTTGTAGAAGTACCTCTTAGACATCTTGTTTTTTTTCTGGATAGTTTTGAAAACAAAAACTACTTGGTTTTGGAATTTTATTTATCTTTTAAATAAGTCTGAAAACTGAAAACTGGACAATGCTTTGAATCTCTGTTATATGTAAACCAATTATAGCCCATTGCAATTTTTTAAAATTGTTAAGGATTTTTTCACTCTTAAAAGTTCCATTAACATTTATTTTGATTTTCATCTAGGTCCCTCTCATTCACCACAAAAATAATTTTGACAGAATAAATGCATTAACATCATTAAGGACACAAATATTTGTATTGAAACTTGAAACTAAGTCCAATACTGACCAACCACCTTCTTCATTGTAACAATGTCCACTATCTACTATAAAAATGCATTCATTGCATCTAAATCTATGCTTATTTTTTTGTTTTAATTTCAGCAGTATCACTTGCATCCTCCATCTTTGAAAAATAGTACAATTTGGCTATTTCAATCCACAGAATTGCTCTTAAATGTTTTTTTTTTTCCCCACAATAAAAAGGAATAAAATCCCACACTCATCACAAAATAGACTTCATAACAGTATGTCCATGTGTGGGTTAATGCATGGATGTTTACCAAATCAAAACTTGAATTTATGAAAAATTATGTTCTCTAAGCCATTATGATCATGATATTAATGTTTCAAAGTCATGCCTCCTTTTGTATTCTTACTTATTTGTCACCTTTCAAATACTAAGCAGTGCTTATTGAAAATCAGTTTTGTTCCAACTAAAACAAAGAAAACAAATTCTTTTCACTAGGGAAGATAATTATGCATCCTGGTAATTTAGCCAATCTACTTTCATGCCAATATATTTCATATAACTAGCCGATTCTTACATGATCTAATGGCCTCATAAACTTAAAATGCACCACTATTTCTTAGGCCATATATCTACATAGCATATTTATGTGGAATATATGCCTATGAGCTTATTGATATAAAAAATGTGGATACTATATCTGAAAGTTCAAATACCATGCCAGAGCTCTGCTCCTTTTACTTTGTGTGTGGAAAATCATTCTAAAATGTCCTCATGGCTGATGGCAACTTTTCAAGTAATCATTAATAAATACACATAAAATAATTTAAAAAGATTTTAACTAATCAGACCAGCTAGACATTTAGATAAAACAACAGAAGAGTACATAGCCTCTCAGTAAGTTTTCTTGATATAATCCCTCTAAAGGACCACAGGCATATCCATAAACCTTCAGGTTGTTTGTAGAAGGAAAGGAAGTCGGTTTCTGAAGATACACTGCCATGGCTCTAAGGGCTTCTATTTGTGAGTAATAAACATGTTCCCCAAGGTCTAAAACAATGTTCCATTTTCTTGATGCATTAGAGGGACCTCTGCTCCCTCAGGAATATTCCAGAAACTTCAAATGTTTAATTTAACAATGTGACCTAGTTAACAATATGAAAGAGAACCTAGCTGCTTGGCTTTCCTGCTTATGAATGTATGAATTTTTCAGGCCTGTAAAGTAGACCAGCATTTTCTGTGAAAAGACTTAAGGAATATCTGCCTACACTATGCAAACTATCCTCGAAATAAAAGAAATCATGCATGCCCACTTTAAACACTTCCTTGTAAAGACTCATGTATTGTTTTAGCCTAATGCCAGATTTGTAAATAATGTGCTCCAGTTACGGTATTGAACTGACACGATAAAGACTTAACACTGTAGGAGAATGTTCCAGGCAAGGCCTCAACGATCTTTCTTCGAATGGTACTCATATTTCACCCTTTTGATTTAGATGCATGGATTTACTTTCCAGAAGAGACTACCAATAGAATCCACATTCTGGTATCACTGCTTTACCTCATTTTAAAGAGGCACTTCTTCACATTTCTTAGAGTGTATTTTCACGACAATCTCTTCCTTTGAAGATATCAGGCAAATATCACTGACAATAAGAGTAAAGGTATTTATTTTTACGCCAGCTTTGGAAGCAGCTGCCCCTGAAACAATGGAAGTAAGAAAAGATGTAAGAAGGAGCTGGCAAAACAGGCAGGGTGAGAGAAGCAGCGACTACTAGCTTGTTCCAAATCAAATGTGGCAATTCTTTGATGTCTACATATTTTCAGTGACAAGACAGCTACAAATGGAAAATGTAGATCTCAAAATAGGCATGTTCGTTATGGCCAACAGCTGTGTGTGTGCGCATGCGTGCGCATGAGAGAGAGAGAGAGAGAGAGAGAGAGAGAGAGGACTCCATCACAATTAAACTGACATACAGGAGTGCTTATTTACTAAGTTATGTGACAATAGACATAACTACAGAACACAGGAAATTAAATTAGGGGGGGAAATCCCTAAATGGTGCTAATTAGCTAAGACGGAAGGGAAAATCTATAAAGTTGACCAAATATCCCTTGACTAAGCAGCTCCAAAAACATTTCTGGCCAATGAGTTTACTCACAGATTGAACTCGATAAAGCAATTTCAAAAGGCATCATCATCATAATTTGTTCATTCGTTTAAAAATATTTTACACAATGCAGCCAACTCTCAACTGCTCGTTTGAAGAGAAGCAGACGCACAGCCACAGGATGCAAAGTCTCCAAATGTTGGGTAAGGGAGATAGTGGAAATCATACTTATAATTGAATAGTTATTCATACAATATGCCTTTCTGGTTATTTTTAGATATGACACTAGCCTTACGAGAGAGAAAAGAAGCTGGCTCTGCTGCTTGACATCTGAAGCTGGTCTAAAAATTGGCAATAAACAGTGTGTATCAAGAGAAACATGGGAGAATGAAAAGTTGACCATCATCCTGCACCTTGTTTCTAGTTTATACTAATGCATTGTATTGCTGAACACTTTCTTCTATTGATATAAAGTCCAAGACTATAAAATGTATATCAGCTGGGCAAAAATATAAGAATCCTGTGGTTATGGTCCTTACAGAGATAAGAGTTGCCATGGCTTTTTATCCCCAATTCACTCCAATCTCTATAATATTTATGGGTAGAGCAGAGGACCTGACAGTTGTTATTCTTCCAGACTTAACTTGAGGTTGGCATTTTCAAGGTATATTTCAATCATATTATTTATGCATATTTATGCATTTTTACAAACACTGAACAGTCCATTTGCAATACTTATGCAGATTGGTGTACTGATCTTGATTTTAAGATTTTTGGTATAGAATTATAACTGGAATTTTTGAAGCTTTTGGCTAACAAGCATATAAAGGCTGTTACATTTATTTCTATCGGTTTCCAAGAGCTCCTTGAGATATTTTTCTTTCAAAAGAATATTTTAGTGGTAAATTTTCAATCTCAAAAATTACCATTCTGAAAAGGTGGTAAAAATCTTGCCTTTTCACACTGGAATTTTAAATTTAAAGTAATATTTTTAAAATGTGCTATAATTGCAGGATTTTTATGAAATAAAAACTAAATAACATAAGGATTCCACATCTAGATTTAAGCTATAATATGCTGTCTCAGATGCCCTCAGATGCTTTCATTATGTCTTATGAATACAATATGTTCTTTCAATCTTTTCTGGAAAGAAAATCTGTACTTATAGGTTCATTAGGATAATTACCTTGAATTTGAGAGAAATTTGGTCACCTGATACTACCTACATTATGTTGAGACCTGTTTTTTCTGAAGGAAAAATGTATTCACTAAAATGGCACAAATTCAAGATTTCATTACAAATTAAATTAGAATTCCCTTAAAATAGGTTCACTGAAAGTCTATTTCACTATACTTCATTTTCATTAACTTTAGTGGAAATAGTTTTCCAGAGTTAGCATCTCATGTAATTATTTAAACATCTGTAAGATCATTGAATATGTATTATTTATTTTATAAGCCTGTCACATCAAGGATTTATTAGAGCTCAATAAAAATATATATATGTGCATGTGAATATATATACATATATGTATATATATGTGTATAAATATATATACATATATGTATGTATATATATCTCCAACCAGAGCACAAGAATTAGAAATTAGCCCCTTATACATGGCAACTTTTATGTCCAAAATTAGTTGTCAGAACACTATTCACATATGGGTTCTCTTTCTCTTGGTCAAAGGATTTTAGGGGGGAAATGTTCCTAAAGTACATCAGACAAGGATACAATGGGGTCTCAAATAAAAGACACACTGTGAAGACAGCAGTTTAAAAAAAAATCCACTCTCTTTCAGAATTCCACATCTTAATCTGGGGAACATATCTCTTCACAAGACTCCAGGAATTAAACAACATAGAAGAGTTCAAGTGTTTAGTTTTTCAGCTCCTCTGCCATTCCTTTTCTCCAAAATTCAAGGCCAGTGATAATCACTAGGACACGTTTTCTGTGAAATGAAAATCACTAGACAGGATTTACATTTATCATCCTAATTTCCTAGAATCATCTAGTCACCTGTGTCCATTAAAAGTATACTGGAATATGACAGTTTCAGAGAAAAACATAGAAACAATCACTATGATAGCTGAAATATGGCTTCATAGGAAACAGGGCTACATTTAATTAGCTTCCATTGAGTACGTGTCTTTTCTGTTTTTTGTTATAGTTCATACCACTGGCATGGACTCATGAGCCAATTTTTTCCAATTTCAGTTACTACCAAAGTTTACAAACTTGATGTGAAGATTACATTATATTTACAAAGAACTTGGCACTTACAGAATAAATTATTGACTTTTTTTTCTTTAACTCCAGACCAGGGCACCCATGGTTCAAGCGAATGGGAAAGCCCAATGTCTTATTTTATATTATGCTACATTAACATGAATAAATAAGTTTCCAGCTGGTCATTCCTCCACAGTGCTGTCCCTGTTGCTGAAAACAAGTACCTTCCATTTCTAATCCATGGGGAGTGTAGAGAAGTTATCAGTCCAGAGAAAGCAAAGGTTGCATGTTTTCTTCTTCATTTTTATCCATGCGTTTTAATACTGTAGGATCCACTACCGATTGGGATCTGGAAATGATAAGGCCAATGTCAGTGAGTAATTATTAAATAATCACATTCCCTTCCCTGTCTTTTCTCCATTATTACCTGTCTCAGAGATGCGGATTATCTTCCCTACATCAAGGAATTTATGAACTGAGAATGCTGAAAAATTAGAGTGGGGCACACTTACGTTGGGTTTTGCATCAGAGGAAGAAAAAAAAATCCCCTCTGAATTCTAAATAGAATAATGAACAGCAAAGGCTTCTGAATGTACCATAATAGGCTTACATTCTCCTCTTCACAGAGAATTTATAGAATAGGACAGATCTGTGATAATAGAACATTTCCAAGTAGGAAATTATTACAGTGAAACTACTGTTATGAGAAATGAAATAGAAACAATAAGAAACTTGATTCCTCTCCTAAAGAGCATTATGAGGGGTGCCTGCATGACTCAGTTAAGCCAAGACTCTTCTTGATTTCAGCTCAGGTCATGATCTCAGGGTGGTGAGATTGAGCTCTGCATTGGGGTCCAATCTGGGGGTGGAGCCTGCTTGAGATTCTCTCTCTCCCCCTCTCCCTCCACCCTCCCCCAGTTCTCTTGCAACCTCTATCTCTCTCAAATAAATAAGTCTTTAAAGAAAAGGAGGTCTGTGAAGCAAATTCAACATGAATGTGCATTTTTTGACCATCATATTTTATTTCTAATGACCCCATTAGAAAAAAAAATCAAAATTTGAATGTGAGACTTTGTCAGATTCCCCACTAGAACATCCAAATAAAATCAGTCTTACTCTGGAAAGTTTTGTGAACCGACTTAAGATTTTTTTAAAAAGCAAAGCAAAACAAAACAAAACGAAAAAACAAAACCTCTTTTGTCTAGGCAGGGGCACTTTCTGATTAGGAGAGCAAGTATCTGAACTCCTTACACACGCTTTTGATAGTAGGTGGGAATTATATCTCAATTCATCATTAGGAAACAACATGAAACTGAGAAGGAGGAAAGTCAATGAAACATGCTACTGTTATGGCAGGAAACTGCATTCTTAATAGCTATGGCATTAAAGAAGCAGCTGCCCTTTTAAAATTCTCCTCGGTAATGAATTTTCCCCCTGCTGCTGCATTCCAGCCAATTGGCTATTGCTGTGGCAATATGCCTCTTAGCAAACCTCATTAACTCTCAAGAAGAAAGACTATAAGCTAAAATACAACTGCACATGCTAATGAAAAAGAACAGCAATGGAACTAATTATCAAAGCAAAAATAATTATAGGATTAACTGATTAATTGACGCATTCATTTAAATAAACTTAAATTCATTTCTAAAGAGGGAACAAAAAGAAAGGCGAGGACATTAAAACAAGAATGTTGTATTTCCTAAGTCATTTTCACTATTTTATCTCAATAATACATTATAGGTCAATATATGTCTGTATCAGACAGGAGATCAACTAAAGTTGAATTAGCAGATGAGAAAGAGAGAGAGAGATAAGGAGAGGGAGAAGGAAAAGAAGAGGAAGCAGAAGAAGGGATTTTGCATCACTTTTAAGTGCAATAATAATTTATCTTAGGAAAAATGATTTATCTCAAGAATAAAATACATTCTAACACAGTGGACAACTGCACAAAACACTTAGGAATTAGACCTTTAATATTGTTTTACTTAGACTAATATTTAAAAAAATATATTTCCCAAGAAAAATCCATGCTAAAATACAAAAAAAAAATGTTTACTTAATGTCCTATACTGAAATATTAACTTGACAACTGGTCCCCACTAAACCATAAGTTCCATGAGCAGAGACTTCATCAGTTTCTCTCCTTATGGTGAACACAACGTGTATCATAGAGGCTATTACACAACACTGTCTCCATATCTTCAATTCTATCCAAGAAATAGTTTGCAGACTGAAAGAATTTTGGGATTAAGCATTTAAAACAAAGAGTAATAAAGATAAAGCAATTCACCTATAAAAAAAAGAAATTCTTAACAGAAAATATGTTTCAAAATTCTCACAAAGTTAGATTTAGTCTATAAATGTTGATGCCTATCTTAATGACATCAATTAATCCACACCAAAGCTCTTCAGACAACACAAAGTATGCAATTTAAGCAGTTGCTGTGAGGTTCTATTAAAACACATATCATGTACACACATGGGCACGCACACCCACATACAATCTTTTAAATCCTTATGTTCCTTGACTATTTAAAAAAATGATTAGAGGATATGGTGACTTTAATGAAATATTTTAAATTACAGTGCACTATCAACCTGGAATTAAATTTCTAGTTTGCTTTTATCATGCACAACTGGTATCAGAATTGTTGGATGATGAATGCTGGCTCCATATGTAGAACAATTCCTCAATAAAACAAGTCAGGCAGAAATGATTTCTGATTAAGAATTTTTTTTTGGTATTTAATTGTCCCAAGTGTACCATTATTTTAGTCCAGATTTTTCTCTGTCTTATCCAAAACAACAGGGCTGTTTGTGCAGGACCACAACCTATTAGTGCATCGGTCTGTTTCTGCTGCAATAGAAGGTGTTGTTTATCATTAACTCATAGCATATCTCAGTGGACTCCAGATAGCCTCTGCTGTCTTTGCAATAAATAACTTTTCTTTTTTTCACGAAACCCAAGAATTTAATTATTCAGGTATCATGTATCCATTTGCCATGAGCCCACAATATTGTGCTATACCTTAATGTAGGAGGATAGATTTTGGACAGAAAGGGATTCTGATTCTAGTTCTGCTAATTTACTAGCTCTTAGGACCAGGAGGAAACTATTTAAACTTCCTAGATTTTGTTCTTTTAACTACAAGATGGAGAAAAATAACACCTACACCATACAGATGTACTAAGGATCAAGTTCAATGATGTGTACGTAAACCACAGCACAAATTCTGGCAAAAAAGCAAATGGTAGCAGTTAGGGAGATGATTTTTGGAGTTGCATAGCCTGTTTTTCAGTATTAGCAGTGCTACTTTGTGGCTATGTGACATGTGGAAGTTACTTACCTTCTCTGTATCTGGGTCTCCTCACCAAAGAAAGGGGAATAGCACTATCTAATTAACTGTTTACAGAAGCAAAGGAGTCAATATATACAAACCATTATTAGATGGAGTCTGACAAGTAGTAACAGTAGATGTTGAATATTATTCAATAAAATCGGAGCTCATATCACAATGGCAATGGTTCACTGCACTGTTACGTGCCTATGCTAGGCACTATCTCAAGTACTAGAGATATAAGGTGAAAGACTTTCCCCTAGTATAAGGCCCCCATAATCCACCGAACTTTGTATTTTTCATGTGACTATCTATGTTATCCCTCCACAAACTAACACAGGGGCACAAAGTCATCTTCCTACACATCTAGCTAAATTCCCCTGACGGGGGAAATATCTACAAGTCTTTGGTGAAGAAATGATTCTTTTTCCCTCTCAATCTAATGATATTCCAAAACTGGGGAAAAAATGGAGGAGGGGAGACCAGGGGGAAACCTAGGAACAATTTTCTCCCATCCTTGATGGGGAACTGACACTCCCTGACACACAGAAGGTGAGAATCAAATACAGTAATTTTCTTAAGCTCATTCTTCATAAGTTTTCAGATAAAACCCTAAAAGCTTCGTATTATATAAAACCTACACCAAGCAAAGCATGTCTGAAATTCTAATCAATCCACATCAGAAGCAAGAAACTCAGGGTTGGGGAGGTCAACGTGCTATGAGCCAAGTCTGCAAGAGGACAGAATGGCCTAATTAATTGGAAAGGAAAATCAGGATCCAAAAAGACTTCAAAAGGTAGACAGACTGAGCCAAAACTAACAAGATGGTGTTAATCAATTAAAATGATGTGCTTGGGGAAAAAAAAAGCTAAACACAGAAAGAGAGAATTATGAAGACATGGATCTATAAGTAAAGAGCCTCTTCTAGTGCTAGGGAGTTCAATATGAGTCAGCAATGTGCTCTGGCTGCCTGAACTGCAGCAACAGTCAACAACAGACACCAAAGGAAGCCAATGAGGGCAAATGCTAGGCAAAGCATTCTGGTACTGAAGCGCAAGTAGTAATAGCATCAGAAGTCCCCTATTCAGACAAAGCCACTGAAGTCTTCATGAAGCCTAATTTGGGGATGGGGCATAACACTAAATAAAATGAGTCAACTGACAGGCAGAAAATAAATGAGGTGACTGACAGGGAGAGACCAGCATGAGGAGAAAATAGAGTTGATTAAGACCTAGGGCCTGATAAAGACCTAATGGCTCTTTTAGCGAGGTGACTTTGGATTGGGAGATGCAGGAAAAGAGCATCCCATGCAGCCATGACAAGTGGCCATTAGAGAGGATCGAGCCCGAGAAGGAGGCTACAGGAGCAGAAAGAAGGATATTGGGGCTGAAAGATGGGGAAGAGAGAGAAGGTGGGAGACACATAGAGGAGTGAGGGGGGCAGGATCAGATCACATAGCACTTTGTAGGCCATGCTACAGAATTTATTTTATTCACTGTATCGTCAGCAGCTACTAAAAAGAAATTAGAGAAATAAAATGATCTGACTTATATTTAAAAAGATCTTTCAGATTGCCACATGGATGATAAATGGGAGCCAGGGGAGCAGGGTCAGGTGAGAGGCAAAGACAACAGGTAGGAAGTCTGGGAGGAATGCAGGCACACAGACTGTAGGTGATAGGATACACACAGATTGTGTAGGATATGGAGAGAGATGTGCTCAGAGGAGGGGACCATGTTGGTGAACAATTCACAGAAGTGGGTGAAGGAAATGAGCATTATTAGCTGGTAAGGAGAAAAACCAAGGATCACAGATGACAGCTGTTTCCAAATCCTTATATAGCTCAGTTCCAGAGTTGAGAGCACTACATCATACTATCTGGAAGGATAGATTAGGAAGATTTACATCAACAACATGGTTGCTCTACACCTCATGGATTAGAATCCCAGTCCACTACATGCAGACTGTGTGATTTTGAGGAAACAATATCTGTTTAACAGGGTGGCTGTGAGGATTACATAAATTAATGTTACAAAAAAGACATCTCAAAAGGGCCCGACTCATGATAAGTAGATAGTAAAAGGCAGATTGTAACAACAATTAGGATCATTATTTTTATCAGAAGGAAGTTATTCTTAGGAAACTGGGTTTTAAATTTTTGTTTTAGAAAAACTGTTTTGAGAATTTGATGAAATATATGCCATTTCCTCTAGAAAAACACACAAATATATATATATATATATATATATATATATATATATATATATATATAGAACTCACAGTAAGAAGCCCTGTTTTAAGAGAAAGGAGTTGAGAAGCCCAGACTTGGCTTATACATAAGGTTGTTTATTGGTGAAGAAATGAAAGCTGGAGATGTCTCCAGTCATTCCTTTCTCTCCAACACATCGCAGAGCAGCCTGGGGAGAGGAAGACACCACACGCACAACAGTAGCAACAACAGCAGCAGCTGTACAAAAAGGGCCGCCTCTAGGAACAAAGGTGCCCCTGCATGAGCAGAACTATGACCAAGGGACCATAAGGTTTTTATCAGAGGCAAGTGTGAGGGGTGACAGGGGCAATGCCTTGGTCCTCCCTGAGCTAGGTGAAGAGAGACTTGCAGAAGCTGTGGTTCTTAAATTTCTGTAATGGGAAATAAGCTGAGAAATAATACTCGTTACTATCGTCCAGGTGAACTCTGGGGTGCTGCGGCCTGGGGGAGGCTGAAAAATTAGGTATCTTCTGGTTTGTTACAGAACGCAAGCTCAGAGGTAGTTATGCATTTGGGTATGTTCAGCAACTCCCCCACCCTCCATAAATGCTAGGTGATGGATGTGTGTGTGTATCCACTGTGAATCCAAAACACCAAGGGAGGTGCGTATTATAGAGCATCGGTTCAACAAATCTGTCCTGATGGAAAGAAAACAGGCATAAAAGTACCTTGAGAATCAAAGCAGGGAATCAGCATCTCACTCAAGAATGAACTTTATAAAGAGTAAAGCTATAGGAAAATAGAATGTTTTGCCCCAGGAACGGCTAGAGTTTTAAATCAGAAACATGGCTGAGACACTAAAGGGAGCATATAAGGTTTTAAATGTATTGTTTGAAATGTGTGCGCATGTGTGTTTGCCATGGATCTCTTTCTTCCAATGAAATCTTATACTAGAGTCTAGTAAATTGCCTGGATAGAGGAGAGTTGTTCTCACTGTGGTCACAGGCACTGTCCCCACCCCACCTGCTTGGCCTAAGACACTCCCCCCAGAACCGTAAGAGTACAGTTTGAAAACCACTAGATTTAGTGACCCCTAACAGCCTTATTAGATTGTCTGTGAATATAAAACAAAACTGAGTTGACATAGCCTTGAAGGACTTTGTCTTTGACTCAATATTCCTAGATTAGACATCTAGGAATGGGGACGAAAAAGGATTTAAGATCCCACCAAATACATATTCCCCCAAATTATAAGCCCTGGAATTAATGTGGGGTATCCCTATGCTGGCTGCTGCCCACTTCCCAGCCACCTCCAGCATACCTCTTCATGGACTTGGGGGAGAGTTCCTTTTCCACCTCCTTCACAGGCATGCTGTAGGAGTCTACATTGTATTCACTGTCATCATCATATTCGTGGTCTAGCAGTGTTCTTGCCCACGTTCCCATGTCATAAGGGGGCAGCATTCCTCCAAACTCAGAAGGCAGGATCTCGGGATGAATTAGTTGGTGTAGACTGTTCAGGTTGTTACCATGCAAAAATATCTACAAATGCAAGAAGAAGGGTGAGGAGAAGAAACACGCATGGGAGGATTCATACCATCCAAATGCTAGGAGGAAGGAGTGAGGATAGGAAAAGCAAAAACAAGAGTTTTCCATGTCTGTTAAAATATTTAAGTCCTTTATTCACTCTGTGACACAAACAGGGCTGGTACTATTATCCTACTATTTCCTATAAAAATTCCAAGGCGTTGGAATTGTAAGCAGTTTCTCGAAAGTCAGACAGTGGTTAGGTTAAAGAGCTGGAACCTGATACTTGGTTTCCTACTTTATAATTGAGGACATGAGCAGAATCCAATGTGCATGCTGATCTGTACATCATCTTGATGTTAGTTGTGCAAAGCTAATGATGTGCATAATGCATGCTGTTAAAATAGAGCCTTCTCATGAGGGACTCATCAACTATAGAGCCCATCCAAGTTATTAAGCCCAAAAGCTGTTACCAGTATGGCTTTCTTTTTTATCATCAATAAAAATAAGAACACTGTAACCACTAAATTACAGCTTTGTAATGCAAAGTGTGTGATGTAAATAAAAGTGGATTAGCATCATCATAATAAAAGGTTGAGTGAAGGTTCACATCCCAAAGGACTTGTGTTCTATAATGTTGCCAGCATCTTCTCTGCAAGAGGTTTCCACCACGCTTATTATTCAAATAAAAATGGAATAATGGAGTGAAAATGTAAAGCTGTATGTATACATCAATTATTTGGTATGATTGTCTCCTAGAGCTTTAAAAAAAACTGAAAAATTATCGAGGCACCTGGTGGTTCACTCAGCTGAGCTTCCAACTCTTGGTTTAGGCTCAGGTCATGCCCTCGGGTGGTGGGATCAAGCCCTGCATCAAACTCCATGTTCAGTGTGGAGTCTGCTTGAGATTCTCTCTCTCTCCATCTCTTTCTGTCCCTGCCCTGCTCTCTCTCTCATAAATAAATAAACCATTGCACGGAAAAATTATTCAAGGTACATACTCAGGATTCATTTTCCCATAAGTTGCTATCTCTTTTCTCTTCCTTCATTTCCATCTCAAAACTATAGATCAGCCTTCTCTGAAAAAGCATTCGTGTCCTCTCATATAATTTATGTCATATTTTTTAATGATTATAGCTTGTAAGTAACTTAGAAATCGTCACTTATGGCTTATAAGGGACTTGTACTTCAGGTTCTTGATGAATAGACTAACATAATTATCTTTGCTTTCCGTAATTTTTGAGTTGACTGACGTCAACATATAGAAAAACAAAGAAAAACCAGTCTACAACATACAGCAAAATGATAGGGATAGGAATTGTCAACTAACAAGTAATTTCAACAGATTTCAGACCAGGAAAAGCAGATGAGAGCAGGTCACTGGCCAAAATAGGCAGAGCAAATGGCTGCCTGAAATACTTGACGTGGAGCCTACAGAGGTGGAAGATGCCATCTGCTCCAATGTATATTAGGTTAATTGCAAAGTTTATACCTTCCCACTCCTCTTTGCAGAGCACAATAGCACCCCCTACACACACATACACACACACACACACAGGGTTAGATTCTTCTCATAAAAAATCAAAATAATTTGGGGGGGGGATAGTTAAGTTCTAACACTTGAAACTCTTGTTTTATTAATTATACGACCTTATTTCATTAGATGTGTTTCTTCACGTAAGAAACGTCTTTCAAGTTATGCGCGAGATCTCATAATAAATCCTTAGAGAAGTAAATGAAATCCTAGCACACTCCTTCCTCTCTCTCTGCTAACATCCTGCTACCTCCTCCCTCAACATCACTTTCAGCTTTGGCCTTGTTTTCTCTTTCACTGAAAAAATAGGGCAACCAGATGCGACCCACCCACCAGCATCTGTGTCCATATGCTGCGCCTCCGCTCCTAGTACAATGGAAAGATAAACTCTACAAAGGCCACCCTCTCCACCTGTGCACTAGAAGCCATCCCCTCTCCTCTACTCAGATTGCTCAAGAAATTCTCTTCTGTCTCTCACATCATCAAATTTCCTCCGTCTGCTGGATCTTTTCCATCAGAGGACAAACTTGCCAACTCTTCTCTTCCCATTCCCCCCTCAGACACACAAAACGTCTCTTGGCCAGACTTCTACTTCCAGTTATTATCTTATTTCTCTCCTCTTTATTACAAAACTCATCAAAGGAGTTGTTTATTTTCACCTTCCAAATACACTAGTCCCATTTTTCCTGAATCCAGTCCAGACAGGCCTTGCCTCCCACTCTACAGCATGAAGACAGCTCTTGTCGGGCTTTTTCTCATTGCTAAATCAGTGTCCAATTCTCAGCCCTTATTTTTCTTGAACTCTCAGCAGCATTGGATATAAATGACTCTCGTCATTGAAACATTTATTCCCAGCATCTCTTGATTTCCTCCTACTTTGGCAGATGCTTCTTTTCAGTCTCTTTTACCAATTATTCCTCATCAGCCCAACATCTTAGTGTCACAGAGCTCCAGACTTCACTTCTTAGATTTATTCTTTTCTCTAAGTGTACTTACTACTCCCTGGTGATCTCATTCAGTCTACTGGCCCTAAATATTGTTCACACAGTGAACATTTATATATCGAATCCAGACCATTCCTTTGAACTTCAGATTGCTCTTTCCACTCTCTACTTGACATTTCCACTTAAAAGGTCAATGGGCACACACACAAAAAAGAGGTCAGTGGGCACCTCCAACTTAATATGTCCAAAACTGAACTTACAACTTTTTTCCCGAAATCAGTTCCTCTCTCTTTTCAACATCAGTTACTGGTATGACTGCTTCTAGTTTCTCAGGCTAAGACCTTCAACTCATCCTTATTTGCTTTCTAAGTTGTCAGTAAGTCTTTTTGGTTCTTCATTCAAAATATATCATGAATCTGAACATTTGACCAATTCCGCCCCTACAACCTTTAATCAAACTACAATTATCCTTCAAATTGTATTACTGTGCTAACCTTCTAACTGTTCTCCCCACTTCCACTCTGACCACCTACGCTTTATTCTCAACACAGCAGCCAGAATGACCATATCACAACGTTAGTTAGATCATGTGTCCCTGCTCACAATTCTCCACCGGCTTTTCCTTTCCCTTAGAGTAAATCTTCTAAGGCTCTCCATAAACTCTTTCACTGAACACATCTCATACCTCCTCCCTGCTGAAACACACGATGCACACATTTGTCTCAAGACTGAAGAGTCTTGTCTTTAGATATCTCCATGGCTTCTTCTTTCATATCCTGCAAGCCTTTCATTTATTCAAGTTTTCCTGTTATTTTTCTCCTTACATTTTTTCTCTTCTACCATTTCATGCAAGAATGTCTTGTTCTTGTGGGCTCCCTTGCCTCTGATTACCTTACTATTCTAAGAATTAGCCTAAATAATACTTTTATTTTACTTCCCTACACTGTGTCATTAAGATTATGGTAGGTGACCTGAGTGGAAGGGAGGGAAGTAAAATGTGTTTGGGAATCAGCAAAGAATAGAAGAGAGAGTCCATCATATTGAGGAACAGGTAGAAAGTTGCGCCAATCAGTGGGGAGGCCTGTTTTCCTGTCAGCTCTTGCGGAGTGGCAAGACCATAACCCTAGAATAGCTGAAGAGTGCCTGAGGTTGAAGACTAGCCATTTGGGTTCTAGCTTTAGTGGAGATGCTATCTTTTTTCACAGACAACTTGGGGGCAGAAGGAGATCTTAATTCAAGGAAATAATACTGGCTTGAAGAGTAAGGATGTCCAAAGAGGCCATATTGGATGGGAAATTTGGCTCCATGTAAAAGATTCCAGATATTAATGAGATTTTGAGAAGAAAGGATTCTATATCACCTAGGGTTGATATTCCCATCAGTCCAGTATGTTGGAGACTCAAAGTCAAATTTCATTTAATCAGAAAAAAATAAAGAAAGTCCAGTATGTTGGTGACTCAAAGTCAGATTTCATTTAATCAGAAAAAAAATAAAGAAAGAACCATTTGTCTTTGGTGACAAAAGATTCACAACTATTCCTTAGTTTTCTTTTACCAGTTTTTCAGAACACAGATTTATAGCATCTGCGGTATAAAGCGTTTGAGTAATATTATGATGCTGGATCACTTGGAATACCAGTAAATATAATAGCTTTGTGCTTTATATTGATTCTATAGGTAGAAACCAAAAAGTGTTTTAACCTATAACTATTTTCTCATATGAAGATTTACAAGTCGTATAGTTTTAATCAAAATGGTAAGGCTCAGATACCTCCCTCCCATCTAGAATAATGCTAGTAGCAGTGAATTTTTCTAAGCATTGTCAAAATTACTCAATTCAATCAAATAGCCCCAGCCCTGGAGGTTTCCTCATTTTCTTAGACTTGATCCTCTTTAGTCGTTTTCCACAGAGCAGAACACCCTGCTTGATCCTCTTTAGTCTTTTTCCACAGAACACCCTTCAGAACAAGTCACCCTGTCCTCAAGTCTTTCAAACTTTTTCCCCGATCATTCTGACTGAAAGCCCAGAACCTTGCAGTTGAATACAAGCCCCCACATGATTTGGCACACCGTATTCCCTTCTATCCCATCGTGTATCACCCTCCTCAGTAGCTCATTCTGCTCTAGCTTTCTGAGCCTTCTTGCTGTTTGCCTAGTATATCAGGCAAGTTTCTACCTCAGGGCCTTTGTCTTTTTGGAACGACCTTCTTAATAAATCCACATGGTCAGCTCTACTATCTCCCAGGTGTGATTTAGAGCAATTTGCTTAGCCTTCTGTGCCTCATTTTCTCATCCCTAGAAGGAGAAAAATAACAGTGCATCCCCTAGAGCTGTCCTTGTAAGGATTAACGGAATTAACATATGTAAAGTCCTTAGAACAGCATGTGGCATAGAGTGAATACTACAGAAGGATTCACTAGTGCAATATGTACTAAAAGCCCCAGCAGGTGTTTTGGATCCTGATCATCTCTTCATAAAACAAAGTTTGGAAGCGTTATTTGTGAAGCACATCAATACACTTTTCTGAACTCTAACATGTAAATTAATTCCATTCTCACCGGTAGAAACAATTCCTGATATAAATTACAATTTTTTACAGAGTCTTCCCCCTTTACTGCCGGAACATTTTCAACAAATTCATATACAGAAGACCTTCTGTTCAATAACGGTTGATACAAACACATATTTAGCAATTATTTCCCCTTTATGCTCACAATGAGGCCTCTATAACATGGCTCGGAGATACCTGAAATGCCTTCTCATTCACTGAGAAACATGGAAAATTACTTTCAATACACATTTAGAAGTGAAGTATATTTTACTTTGGAACTAATCATTTGAAAATTGGTCACAGCACGGAGGCAAAAATAGCTCTAAATCTGGAATATTTGGATTCATGTATTAGCTCTACAACTCTACAGCTGTGTAAATGAGTAAGCAAGTTACTTAACCGTCTTAAGACTTACTTTTCTCAGCTGTGAAATAGGAGATAAGGCTTACTAAATTTATGTTTCAGAGGCTTTTGGAGGATAAAATGAAATAATGGACATTAAAATGCATTTTGCAATCTATATTATTAATAATAACGATAAATGTGTTCAGCCCTTACCATGTACCGTGCACTGTGCCAAATGCTTTATACAAACTATCTTATTTGCAGAAAACAACGATTATTATCTTGTAGATGCCTTTGAATGATCCTCATTGTTAGATGAAACCGAGTCTTTGAACGCAAGTAACTTGTCATTTAAAGAAATACTAATATCTCTACACATCAGCATTCTTTCTGAAAAGCATGATTGAACATGACAATCACTACAAAATTATGTTAGATACTACATACAAAACTCTATATTCAATGTGATACATATTATGAAATGACTAACATTCATATGTCAGCTTATAAAATTATAACTTTGATCTAGATTTTACTTGAAATTAAGTGTACTAATAAAAATCTAGTAACATGGCATAATTATTTATTTTTTTTTACTTTTAAACTGAGGCTTCATATAATGATGTACTGCGATGTTCTCCCAATTTGTGGGAAAGCCAATGAGCAGGCTTTTAAATATTTCTTTCATACACACACTGATCAGAATTAATCATAGGGTCTTGAAGAATTTTTAAATGTCTTAAAAGTATACTCATATGCACTACAGGGGTAGATTTTACCACGGCCAGTACTACATACACATTTTGCAGCGTAATTTGTTGAACATGGGAAGAAAAAGAATACAAAAACAAAGAAACAAGCAAATACCCTTTTCCGAGTCTTCTCCTTGAGGAAAGGCCGGATCACGGTGTACAGGGCATGGATATACCATGGCTGATTGACAAAGTGAATTCCTCCAAACCTCGCTGGGAAACTATCCTAGAGGAACACAGAGTGGGGAGAAAAACCAACACGTGCTTTAATATACTGAGACGGCTTGAGGAAGGTCATATGGTATATAAATTTGTTATTCCGCACACTTAGCTGAGATTATTTGTAGAGTTAAGATGACTAAGAAAAAAGGAAGAAACTTACCACACTAAACATTGCAACTTTCATACCTAAACTGAAGCAATACGTAATAAAGCAAATCCTTCTCAAGAACAGTTTGTTGATAAGAGCTTCAGCATTTTTAGGAACGCTGTATTTTAAGCCTACAAACTGTTAACAGTCACTATTGGCCAAGAAACAGAAATAAAAGACATGAGGGATTTGTCAAATACTGAATCTATGTTAGATAAGCATTTTATTTAAATTGTTTAAAGTATATCTAAATAAGTATTTTCTTAAATTTCACTATAGTTATCTACAATGTGAGCACTATCATGTATCAAAACTCACTTTATTCTATGTTGTCAACTTCATTATAAACATTCTCCTTCCCTTATTTCAGCTGTAAAAAACAGGGGGCAAACAGGCTTAAGCAAAATAAAAACTTTGTGTTGTAGTGTGGGAAATCTGGGGATGCATTATTGCTAGGTGAAGTCAAAACCCTCTGAGCTCACACCTTTTCAGGAAGAAAACAGGCCTATCCTAAAGCCAGTCTCCTCTTCAGCAGGAACTCACTTGTGTAAGGCTTGAATCTGAAGTGATGTAAAGATGTCTTTTCTTCCTATCTGTGACTAAACAGGTGCGTCCCACTTCACTCCATAATATGAAGGAAATCCTTAAGCTGAATAGATTGCAACATCTGACCTCACTTGAGTGCTATGGACTCCACATAAATGAATGGATCCTTGCTACTAGTTCGAAATCCCACACTCAACTATGAAAGTCTTGTTAAAAAAAACAACAAAAACTATACCACTAGAAGTGTCTCTCAGGAAGTATCATAATAACTGACATTCTTCTGGATTCTTTTTAGAGCATGAATGGGAACAAAGAAAAACTAAAGGAACTGAAATAATCATAGGTGCATTTTTAAATTTTTTTTAAACAAGATTGTCTACTCAAAAACATGCACAGCATAACCCTATTATGTTATGTTGTGCATGTTTTACCTTTAGGGGACACTTAGGAGCATTAATAATTAATTCATGGTTTTCTATGTTGATTTTCAGAGCCAATAGCACTTTTTTTTTTTTTTTTGCAAAGCCATTTCTATCTCTGGCAGCAACGCACTATAAAAAAACAATACTTAAAAAATAAATAAATTGGAATAACTAAAAGTAAAATACATCTCCTTTTATGTAAGCACCTTACTTCTTTTATAAACATGTAGTTTTCATTCCTCAAGAATTTATTATGATAATAGAAATGAATTACATAGAAATGTAGACATCATATGTTTTTAAGTTATGATATTTTTATACATAAAAGGAAAATAATCTATGTACAATAAAGAGAATGCTAAGATAAACATCCATGTGCCCTCCACTCAGCTTAAGAAATAGAACGTGGTTGGTAACCTTAGAGTTGACTTTATTCATATTCTCTGTTCCTCTACCACATTTTAAAATTTTATATTATAAATGTTTTTCTTATATTTTATAAGCATTTTAAATATATAAATATCTTACTCCTTATTTATTTTATAATTTTGTATATTTTATTTATTTCTATATTTTATATTTCTTGCTATGGATATACCTAAAACCCCTAAAAGATACTGTTAGGTTTTCTAAGTACTTAAACTTTCTAAATATATGAATGTATTCTTCTAGCATCATATTATATTGTTTTTGAAGTTCCTCGTATTTGAGTTTTACACATGTGCAACTATAGTTGTCACTATTGTATGGTATACTATTGTATGGTAGGTCATAATTTATTTTCTCTTGTCAATGCACATTGTTTTCCAAATATTTTGTCTGGTGTGCATCACCAGGCATCACCAGCACCTCTGCTCTGTAGACTTCGTTTATGGACATGTGTCTTGGGCATGTTCAAGTATATATGTGGGGTATATATCTGAAGTCTTAAGTCATAGAGTGTACATACTTTACACAATTGGTAACAGCAACTACATCAATTTATACCTCTCCATCCCCCAGCAATCAGGAACGTTGCAGCTCTTCCATATATAGCACTTGGTATCGTCAATCTGTTTAATTTTTGCCAATTTATAGGTTATGAGATAGATTTTCATGTAACTTTAATTCCCTAGTCACTTGGACTTTGTTTATTTTAATTCTGTCATTAATAACATTACTTAATAACATGATCACTTAATACATAGGTATTTTGTGTCTTAGTCCTTGGGACCCTGAATTTGGTTACTGATCTTATTTATGGTGAACTTATATTTGGTTAATATTAATCATTGGGAATCCTGAAAGAGCTAGTTTGAGGATGCCTTTCTCTAGATAAGGTCTGTATCATTTCCTACTAGGTGCTATCAACATGATTCGGCTTTAATTTAATTTCCTTTTGAGGGGGGATTTCTCTGATTATACAATGTGCATTCAAATCTCAGACTCAGGCAGCCCTGGTGGCTCAGCAGTTTGCGCCGCCTTCAGCCCAGGGTGTGATCCTGGAGACCTGGGATCGAGTCCCACATCGGGTTCCCTGCGTGGAGCCTGCTTCTCCCTCTGCCTGTGTCTCTGCTTCTATCTCTCTCTCTGTGTTTCTCATGAATAAATAAATAAAATCTTAAAAAAAAAATCTCAGACTCAGAGGAGACGATTATGGTCTCAGATTATCAAAGAAGACATTATCATTATTATTAATACCAATATTATTATTGTTACTATTATTTTTCCACCTGCTTATGAGAGAGGCAGAGAGGTTTTCTTAAAGGTTTCCTAGCCAGCAGAAATTCTCCTTGCACAAACCTTCCCTAAGGATATAGCACCTGGACGAATGCAGTCTCACAGCTAGTCCCCCTTTGCCCACAATGTATGCAAACCCAGTCTTTGCTTCTAACCACCCCATGCCCTAGGCATTCATTACCCTCTAAAGCTGTAGGTTCCTGCAGTCAACATTTGCCTCCAGAACCACCTAGGCTTCACTTATTCTCCTGTTTTTTGTTTTGTTTTGTTTTTCCAGTAGACTTTGTGCTCTTGCTTTAGGGCTCAAGGGGCAGTTGAGGGGTGATGACTTCTTTCTTGCTCCCTAGAGTTCAGCAAAGAATCTGAAGATATATTTGTTGTGATTTATCTAACACTCTGTGTTTCATGGCGGGAAGATCTTCAGGAATTTTTAACCTGAAGCAGAGCTACTTAGAATGCTTTTAAAATCCACTCCTGAAGAGGCATTTAATCTCTAAAACAAAAGTGAATAAACATCAGCTATCAAGTTGTTAAACCAAACGTCTTGGCTCAGTGATTTTTTTAAACTACAATCCCGTGGAGGTCATGCTTCTTCTATTGAAAAATAAATATGCACACGTATACACAAAACATACACATGAGTTCATGGGATTTCTTGGATGTATCTTTACATAAACAAGGACTTGATCAGTGCCAAATCACAGTTGAGACAGGGTGCACAGGAAGGGAAAGCAATGACTTTGCAATCAAATTAATCTAGGTTAAAATTCTGATTCAGTGCCACCTCTCAGGCATCAAAGTGCAACACAATGACAACATAATCCTTGATTCCTCTCTTCTCCTCACTGTGATGCCTTGTTTCCTTTCTTTCTCTTCTCCTTGCGGTATTACAATTACACATATGTTATACCTTCTGTATCTGGCTTCCAGTTCTTGGTTACTCTGTTCCTTTTTTGTTCCAACGTTCTTTCTCTTTGCTTTCCATTTTGGAGGTTTCTATTGACATAGTCTCCAAGCTTAGAGACTGTTTCTTTAGCCATGTCCAGTCCACTAATAAGTCCATCAAAGGCATTCTTCATTTCTGTTAGGGTGTTTTTGATCTCCAGATATCTTTTTTTCTCTTTCTTACACTTTCCATTTCTCTGCTTATACAGTCCATCTGCTTTTGCATATTGTCTGCTTTATCCATTAGAGCAGTTAGTATATAAATCAAAATTGTTTAAAATGCCCAGTCTGATAATTCTGACTTCCTTGCCCTGTCTGGTTCTGATGCTTGCTCTGTCTCTTCAAGTTGTGTTTTTTTTTTATTTTTTTTAGTACTCCTTTTAATTTCTTTTCCTGATAGCCAGACATAATGTACCAGATAAAAGGAAGGGCTGTAATGCAGTGGTAGGTATGGTAAGAGGGAAGTGTTCTACAGTTTTATGATTAGGTCTTGGTCTTCTAATGAGTCTGTCTCTGGACTGTGAACTCCCAAGTGTTTCTCAGTCTTTTTCTCTTCCCTGAGGTGGGACAGGTAGCCTAGAGTTGGGTATTTCCCTTCCCCATGTGGATGCCTAGAGTTGCGTATCTTTCTACCCACAGGCCAGTTAGGTTCTAATAATACCCCAGCAGAAAGAGAAAAACAGTAGCAACAACAACAACTACAACAACAGAGTGCTCTGGCATATTTCAAAATGGTTTCTTCTCCTTTTCCTCTGACAGAAACACAAGGGGATTTTTCTCTAATATTTACTAAAAACCTGATCCAACCCATGAAGCAAATCTCATAAAAGTGTGGGGAGCCCTTAGGATGGGGCCCCTTGGAATTTTTAACTCTTAGCCTCATTACCAGTGAGCTTCCAGCAATTTATCACTTAAAGTTCATGATATCCTGCCCCAACATTGGTTCCCACCATGGTTTGTTTCTCCTTCTGGATCTCTGCTCCAGTAAGCCAAGACTCCCTGTGTTCACCTGCCTGTCCCTCCAGTCTTGGCGACAATGGTTTTCCCTGTTACCTCACCTCATTTTCCAGTCTGGTTGTTTCTTTGTTGTCAGGACAAGGTGGAGTCTTCCAACCTTCTTCCAAGCAGAACTAGAAACCAGAAGTATAAGCCACTTGCTTCCAATCATGCCCCCAAGCCCTCCAATATTTATATCCTCAGCTTTGTGTAGCTTCATATTTTCGT